AGCTTGCACGCCGTAACCCAGTGTAAGTAATCTGCGAAATGCATGTCCTGTATGATATACGAGCATCCTCTCCTGTATGATAACATACGAGCATCCTCGTCAATAGAAATCACTTGATTGAAACCTATACAGAAGACTGTTAATATTGCTGATAATACCTTATTAGACATACATTGCTCACACAAAATGGATTGGATGTAAGAGGTAATGAAATATGTCAGCCTGACCTACGAGACATCAGTAAAGTGATGAGGATATCGTTATCGTTTATCGTTAGTAACGAGGGTGGGATGGAGTGGAGGGAAGAGGATAGGCCCGAGCTGGGAGAGACACACAAAAGGGGGTGAGGGTTGGTGGTGGGGAAGAGGAAGAGAATTTGCAGAGGGGTGGCAAAAGTAACAGGGTGATGGGAGACGGGGTAAAGAAGGTATGAGTGGACGAGAGGAAAGTAGTGCTGTGGGAAAGGTGATGAGGGGAGAGTTGAAAAAAAAGAGAGGTGGACAGAACACAATGTAAGTTTAGAGAGAGAAGTGAGAAATACAAGAACAAAAGACAAATGAGACAAGACTAGGAAATACAGGAAACGATAAGACACGGGGCATAGCAAGATGATGAGAATAAAGAAGTGGCGAATGAGAAAAGAAAACGGAGGAAACAGAGTACAAAAGATAGGCTAGACAATGGGGGCGCGAAAGAAAACCTCAGATAAAATAGCGAAGGACAACCAGGAAATGAGGTCAAGCATTATCCGGAATATAGGATGCCTCCTTAAGAGGACACTGCTGTGTCCTTGTCTGAGGATGCTCTTTCTACGTCGCGTGAAATCAATACAAAACCCGCTGTCTTCCAACATGTACTTTAACAGATGGTTTAATTATTGGTGAATATAGTTTTACGAGATGTGGTTCTGACACTAGTATACTATACCAAAACACACGTATATTGGTGCAGTATACCGAGCAGTATAGCCAAAATGTTGCGCATCCTATGGTCTTTCTGATTATTGTGTATATTGTATATGCAGTGACTGAAAATGAATTTCTTTTAATAAAAATACGCTAAAAGAATCTAAATCTAATATCGTATAAATATGGGTATACTATGTACAAACAGGTATACCATACAAAAGCAAGGATATATCACTCAAAATACGGGTATATTATACCAAACACGGTTATACCAAGGAAAAAAAGTATACTACACAAAACGTGAATATGCAAAAAGCAGGCGTATACACATAACAAGGGGTTAACCTCAAAACACATTTATACCATACAAAAACGCTGGTATTTAATAAAAATATGCATATACCAAACTAAAAGCCGAGGGTATACCAACGTCAACCATTGGGATACTATAAAAACAAACCACATAAAAACATGAGTACACCATACAAAAACAGAGGGATACCATGGAAGACAAGACACATATGCACCAGTTAGGTATCTTTATTCCGAAAGGTCTCCCCTACACAGGAAGTTGAATACATCTCCAAGCTGAGTGACTGACCACTGCAAACTACTCCTTCAAGGTTGATGCGCCCACCACATCATTGTTACCCCTCCATGGCTGCTGTCTCCATGTTTGTAACCTCTGTATTCAACTGATAAAGCCTACTGTGTAGGCGAAGCGTTTATGAACTTGTGTCTATTTATCGGCATTATATACCATTATAACACAGGGATACCATACAAAAACACAGATACACAGCCCAAAGACATGGGTATACTAAACAAAAATATAGGTATGCCATAAAAAATATAGGTATGCCATATGGAAACATGGGGATACCATAAAAACGCAGATACACCACACAAACCCATGGCTATACCATATAAAAACAACAAATACACCACACAAAAACATGGGTATACCATACAAAAGCATAGGGATACCAAGCAAAAGCATAGGAATAACATGCAAAAGCATAGGGATACCATGCAAAAGCACAAGGATACCATACGAAAACAGTTACACCACAAAAAACATGGGTATACCATGCAAAAGAATAGGGATACCATACAAAAAAATACACCATATAAAAACATGGGTTCACTATATAAAAGCATAAGGATACCATAGAAACATAGATATACCACACAAAACATGGAGTATACCATACGAAAACTAGTAAAAATGTTTGTCTGCACGTTCTAATAATCCTCATAGAGAGGTGGTGAGCGTCTCTTGCGATGTCCATGTGCGAGGCTCGTATTTTGAATAAGTAATAGTGAGAGTAAGATTATAACAACAAAGCAATGTAGGAAAGATAGACCAGGACGTGATGAGGGTTTGATTAAAAAAAGCTTGTTGGTAATTTACTCATACCACTGACTTTGTTAGCCATCTCTCTAGCACTGATATAGTACTGGAAAAATATGAAAAGAGGACCACAGTGATTCCGTAGGGTAATACAATTTTCCTAAGTTTCTATGTGAGATATTTTAATTACTTGACTAGATGTTCAATGTAAGCAAAGACTATATTTTACTTGTGCACCGAACTACATTATTGGGTGATTCATGCAGCTACAAAAACTAAGGTCACCCACATCCAATTGTCTATAAATATGAGCCTGCGCACTATATACAGGCATGTGCAAAAGCATTCCTGTGAACTAAAAAGCAATCATGCTCAATGAAACATTACGTCAGTGCGCAAAGAATAAATGACGAATTCTGAAGTGGAATCTGTGCTGAGCATTCTTAGTTAGTGAATCGTTTGCCCAACACTGCGTGGAATTCGGGGTACTTAAACTTCTGTTTACAACTGCTAAATCAACTGCGAAGAACGTTAAAAATCTAGTCTATTACTATACATGTTAACAAGCGTATACATTATTTTTTATTACTTTTAATTATTTCATTTCGCGATGGAAGTGCATACGCCAGTCAATGTTCCATGGCACCGCAATATCAGGAAAGAAAATAAAAGGCACTGTTGGTGATATAAATCTACGGTCTTGCAACCCAAGTTTAATTAGGCTAGAAGTCTATTGATATATGCTATTTACCTTTGATTTACCCTTGACGGGGTTCAAGAGTTTTCTCACTCGCAGCCCGGCCCTGAGCCAGGCTTGTCATGAAAGAGATTAATAATCTTATGAGTACGAATATATTTACTCCCTTACTGTTCACAAAGTAACTGTTCGCATATTTCCGAGCAAGGAATTACACAGTTATTGTTTAACCATCTGAAAATCTTTTAATAATTTAGGAATTAGTTACTGAATCGCTATGAGGAGATACGTGAATTGTTCAAGGGGTCGCTTAGAGCGGCAAGATGATTCCCATATAAGAAAGTAAAGCCGTAGCTGCCATGCTCGATTATTATATATTATTTTTTTTGGTTGCACACGTTGGGGATGCCTTGATACCGATTGAAAGGCTCTTGATACCCGGAATTGGAGCTACCTTGTTTTGGTACCTTCCCCTTCCCCATGGGTTTAGTAATAATAATAAATAAAAATAATAATAATAATTATAAGAGTACGAGTTTGATTAAGGCCGCAAAATATTATTTAAATAATGAACCTTAAACTTCGACTGAAAACCTTATCCAGTCAAATGCTCATAACAGGATTTTCTCAGAAACTATGCTTATTACATTTGTGAAGATAATCATATCACGTTTGTGAGTTCGTAATATTGTGATGACACCATGATCATTGGTCATGATAAGCGCTAATGTATATGAGGGAGGTCGCTGGGGACAACACAAGCAATATCTATGTAATAGCGTTAAATATGGGAAATTCCAGGTTAGCTAAGTTCCAATACGGGAAATATCTGTCTACTAGCGCTAATGCAGGAAATATTTGTCTAGCAGTGCTTAGAAGCACTAAATACCGTCAATATCTGCTAAGTAGCTGAAAACTGGAAGTACTAGCCTAGCAGTGCTGAATATAGAAAATACCTGCCTAGCAGCTCTTATTACTATAAATACCTGTCTAGCAGCGCTTATCATAGGAAATATCTGCCTAGCTCTATAAACAAGAATTATGTTTAGGAATTCTGGAAACAGTAAAAACCCTTTCCAGCAGCTCTCACTGCAGGAAACACCTACCTAGTACAGCTAAATACAAAAAAATTCTTCATAGCAGTGATGAATATGGTAAATACCTTCGTAGCAGCTCTCAGTGAAGAAAATGCTTTCCCAGTAGAGCTAAATACATGAAATTTCTACGTAGCAACTGAGAGGGGAGCAGGAGGGAGGGGGGGGGCTAAGGCGGTGGAGGGGGATGTAAGACAGTGGGGGAAGAGCTAAGACAGTGGAGGGGAAGTAAGGAGGGGATGTAAGACGATGGAGGGGGGTGTTAGACGGTAAGGGGGATTTAGGATGGTGGAGGGGGAGCTAAGACTGTGGAGCCGCAATATATTGGTAGGGAAGTGGTAAATTCCCCAGGGAGGGGGGACGGGAGGCGGGGGCGGGGTCATACAAGAAAGAAATTGTATTAATTATGTTTGATAAGTGAAAAAAAGAGGGAGCTCCAATTTTTAGGATCAGGAACCATTCGCCATCGTCTCCTCTTCCTTTGAACGGAAGAGGAAACGGAAGTAGTGGTAACTATGATATTTAAGGCAGGGAAGAGATATTCTCTGACTGTCCCAGCCTCCCCTCTCCCATCCCCTCCCCATGAACCAAAAATTGAAGTGGGCGTGGCTCAGATACCCTAGTATCAGTGTTACCTAAAATAACTCAAAATACTAGTAGCTATTTAATATTTTACTACATATCTTTAGCGAAATTTAGCCCGAAAGACTAGTTGTCTGTCATCCACGAGGATACCCGATGCTTTATTCACGTTCAGTCTAGCAGAGTTGACATTTTAATGCAGATTTTTGTGTGGAACACCTGTGAATACCGTCACCAAATATTGTCAGCTGATAAACTGGTTTCATTTGTATATAGCATATTTTTTGTCTTCTCAACCAGCAGCACTCCACTTCGCCGCTAATACAAACCACGACAGGGCGCATTTACCGCTCCTATGCCATTACCTGGGACGAGACTAGCAACACGACACAGACTAGCGCAGCAAACACACTAACAAGAAGAAGAACCAGCTGTCGAGCTGGGCGTGTAGAGGTGGGGGAAGAGCTGGTGTAGCACGGACCCTCCACGACCACCCACCACCACGGTCGACGGAACACTGGCGCGCCACAGCGGCGCCGCCCTCGTAAACAGCACGAATTTATTTTACACTTTCTAGTTTATTTATATAAAAAAACGTGTAATTGTTGTTATTGGCGTGTTCTGTTGTCTCCTGGGTTTTTTGTTCCTCTCCTCCCTGTTGAGCCTGCCGGGTTTAGAGGGTCTAATGCATAGTATGTCTGACTTTTTTGAAAAAAAAAATGTTTATGTTTAAAAAGTGTTTTATTTGTTCCATAAAATACTGATGCGCCACGTACACTGAAGCACCACGTACACTGAAGTGCCACGTACACTGAAGCACCACGTACACTGAAGCACCACGTACACTGTGAGTTGTTTTCTCTCTCTCACACACACATAGCTTCAGGAGTAGGTATGATAGGTCCCTGGGAACGAGAAATCAGTACAGCTAGTTATTTAAGTCGGATCAGGAGCTATGACTCGACTTTGTAATTGGTACAACTCGATAAATGCGCTCGCGCGCACGC